GGGAAAGAGAGAGAAAGAGAATGAGTTAATTAATTCCATTAAATCAACGTATATAATATTAGAATCTGTCATATACGAGATTGTGCTCATTCTACTATTACTATCTACTAATTACTAATTGTAAGATAGATTTGTAATTCGACGATTACATCGGTATAAAATTAAGATTTTGATTATGACGTTTTTTTAAAATCTCTTTCCACGATATCCGAAGAATATAATAAATGAAAAGGACTATATTTAGGGGGGAAAATGATACATCAAAGATTGCATCGAAAAAAGGCGCAATTTATTAGTAGAGAAAGCCGGGGGAGCGCGTTATAGAATTCGCGGAGGGAAAATGCCACTTTTCGAAATTGCAGCGGCTCTTTTGAAACGAGGATCTGATACGCAGAGTACGCGACACGATACATCTGCCGACCGAGGGCAGCATTTTGAAAACGGTTTCGGTAATTTCGAGAAGTGCTATTTTTTCTTATCTCTCGGGGAAAGCGTAACGGACGACTTGCGGAACATCCTACATACCTGTACCCGCGGATGAAAACGTTATTCCTCGCTAGACTCGAGATAGAGCTCCTAGTAGAAACGGGGATTTCAGAATACCGATGCTGGCGCAGCGTGGTTGCAATTTAGTCTCTCCAGTCTTGCCGAAAACTGAGTTAGACGTTTCGTCACGTTAACCGAGTTTTGACAAGAGAACGAAGTCACAAGAACGAAGTTCCGATTAGCTACGACGAAGTTAGTTTTGGTCGCGTACACGCGCAAGTATGGTTTCCGCGCAGCTTTTATGCCGACCGAGGGCAGCATTTTGAAAACGGTTTCGGTAATTTCGAGAAGTGCTATTTTTTCTTATCTCTCGGGGAAAGCGTAACGGACGACTTGCGGAACATCCTACATACCTGTACCCGCGGATGAAAACGTTATTCCTCGCTAGACTCGAGATAGAGCTCCTAGTAGAAACGGGGATTTCAGAATACCGATGCTGGCACAGCGTGGTTGCAATTTAGTCTCTCCAGTCTTGCCGAAAACTGAGTTAGACGTTTCGTCACGTTAACCGAGTTTTGACAAGAGAACGAAGTCACAAGAACGAAGTTCCGATTAGCTACGACGAAGTTAGTTTTGGTCGCGTACACGCGCAAGTATGGTTTCCGCGCAGCTTTTATATATATATATATATCGACTCGATTATTTTAATTGAAAATTGACAAGATAACTCTCGCGATGTAGCGAGGGACTGAGCTCGTTTCGAGCCGGGTTCGAGATGAAATATCGAGGAAAATGGCAATTTTATTATATATTTCCCGTAAATCGAATTGTGAAATTCCACTTATCGAGTTTCAGTCATAAATCCAATTTCACGTTACAGCGAAATTCCGGAAATCGAGTTTCCGCGTATTCTGAATCATTCGCGACTAATTTCTCTATTTTCGCGGTAGAAACTTCTTATATCGTTGCGATTTTCATATCAAACGCACTTCTGTGCCACAGATTTGCGATTGATACATATCGTCGCATCGGATTACTAAAGAGCGCATTGATGCATCTACGTGTTTATGCCACAAACGAGTTAACGCGAGCGAGAGAAATAAAGTCATTCATTATGTCTTAAAAAAAATTTTAATAGATGATAAAATTATTTCAAAGAAATAATCTAAAAATAATGCAATATAACTTTAACGAATTTAAATCTTGCTACAAACATAAATAATTTATACCTTCAATCTCCTCCCTTCCCCCGAAGTTAACAAAGATTATTTTTAAAGATTGAGAGAGACAATGGTAATTAAAGATAGAGATTATGGTCTATATCATCAAAATCCGATCTCACGCACTACAATTCTAAGCCTCATCGATAAATAGAGATGTGCCGCGACTTTCCGAGTCGAGTTTGCGAGATACGGAAAGCACGTCATCGTCGATATGTCGTGACATCATCGTGACGTTTCGCTCTATTTACCTTGTGCGCTCGCAGCGTCTTGCCCTCGCAGGCGAGCGTGACGTCGCAGTAAGCCTGTCGCTCGAGCAGCTGTGAGAACATGGTCTGCAGATTGCTGTGATGGTACTTCCATCTCAGGCAGTACTGTTGCGGGAACATGGTGGTGGTGGTGAATGACGATGACGATGACGATGACGATGACGCTGAGCTGGTCGTCGTAGCGGGCGCGGGTGCTGAACAACCTCGTTGTTGAAGCATGCGCGGGCCTGGCACCGCCGTGCGAACTCCCCCTCGACCGAGCCGGCCACCGTTGCGTTCGCTTCCGGGGTTCACCGTACTCACGTCGCCCGCCCTCTTCGCCTCCGGCGTTTCCCCGCCAATGTCTGCAACACATCGGAAGAACCTGGGTCAAAGGAGCCGAGAGGGATACCGCGATAATCGGTGAATCACATCATTGTGTGCAAAATTTGAAGAGCTCGAATCAAAGAGAGAAGAACCAGTCTCTTCGGTTTCGGGCTACGTGATTTTAAAAACGATGCACGATGAAGGTGATCCATTCGATATCATCATCGGGATATTTTTAATTTCGAAAGGGAATTTCTTGATCGGAGCTTAATGTTTTACGTCTCGATTCCATTTATAACAGAACCAAAGTAATTTCTCGAATAAGATCTATTCTTAAGAATCTTTATTATACGGAAGGATAAAAAGTATTAAAATAATCCAGAAAATTGAAATATTTTATAAATACATGCGAACGCGCGCGCGCGCGCGCGAATTTTTATCACACACACGTTCATTGTCTAACCGGTCATTGCCATACAGGTATATCGGGTTCGGCCGGAAGTTCTCGTCGCCGAAGGAAGGAAAGAAGTCCCGTCGCAAATCGGATTGTGATAACCGTGCGTAAATGTTTATCGCTCGCTATCGCGTTTTTTCTTCAGTCTTCATTCTGATAAAATATTTAAGTTTAAAAGCGTATCACTTTTCGTACCGTAGCTCATATTCTACATGGAACACCGAATTCTGCAGAGCAAAAATTTTGTACTTATTTAACGTATAAAACGCAAACAATAAAAGTAATTCCTAGAATTTGTATAAAAGTTCAATTTACAAAAATTTTAATTTTTATTCTCTTTAAAATTCAAATAACAGAATAAATTTTATATAGATAAAAATGTGTGTTAAAAAAATATAATTTTTTGGAATGACTAGAGAAATATTTTTATTGTTAGACTTTTAATATGTTTAATGTAAGGCAACAGATATACAGGAAGAGAAATCTTCGGATTAATTTTATTAATACTAATTTTAATTTTACTTTGACAAAAATTGTTTTATATATAATAAATATATATGCTTAGAAATCTCCTCATGGACACGATCGCTTATTTTTCCTACTTACTAAGAAAGTCTTCGAGCTCGTTCTGACTCAGGATTAGAGTGACTCGCAGGCCAGTTTCGGTCTGACTTTCCTCCGCAACACCCGCGCATAAACCGGCGCGAATTCCTGAGGATGAGGGTCCTTCGGCTTATCACTGACGTTCCTCCTCGCTACCAGTTCACCTCCCTGAAACACAAATGGCAAGAACGTACGTTTTATTAATGGAGTCACATGGAGTGTCGATTAGCGACTAAGATTGATGCGCGTTATGATAAATAACTCGTCACGTTCGAGTGACAACGGCAGTTAGTGGTAGATATTAAATCGACGAACACATGATTGACCGAATAGATTCGTTCGTTTCGAGCCACGCGATGATAGAAATGTCGATATATTCGCGAGAAACATTTGCATTAATTCCGCTAACCTAGGATATTAAAATCGGGATACTATAACTATGACGATTTTAATAAAAGATTTAATTTAAAAAATGTTTAAGGTTTTATGAATTATCATATTTTCATCAATAGTTTCTTTATTTATTATTTATTTATTTATTATTTATCCTCATTTATTACTTATTTATTTATTATTTATCCTCCTTATTTATTATTTATTTCTTTATTATTTAAAAAACGAGCAAATCTCTAAAGGACTTTTTGTCTTATTGTTAGTTTATCGGTCCCCTATACGCTCCTAAAGTTTTGACATTTAAATTGGGGACACCCTGTATACATAAAATTGTTAAGATAACATTCCGTTTATATATATAATTACTATATTCATAAATATCGGAAAGTATTTTCCTTCTAATCGTCTCGAAAAAATTACCTCTGTTTTATCGCTCGTATATGTAAACGTAGATATTCAGGCTACAAATTAGCTTGCGGGTTAAGCGAACAATTACTGGTTCCGGGAAAAGAGGTATAAGAAATTCAAAAGCGCTTTATCGGGGGCGAGCGACGCAATCGGACGGATCCTTTCTGCGGTGTCAACGTATCTCGATTACGAGGATAACGGCGCAACGCGCCGGATAACGATTCCCGGCAATTACTGTTAAATCGATTTCTAGCCACGTGGCAGCTTGTCGATCGCGCTGTATACATATATACGCGTTATGTTCTACTCGACGGTACTTTTTATAGAGGGAAAGGGGGAGATCCGTGTTTGTGCTATATTAATATGAACGAAGAAACTCTACTCAACTGTGAGAAACCTTGACAAATAACTTGCGCCGCGAAGCTTTCACTGTCGCGTTTTCTACGAGAATTTTCGATAGTTCCTTTTTCTTGCTCGCTCGGTTTGCTTGAACTTTTAACACAGATTCAAGATACTGGTACGTTCGAGATCGAGTTCCAAGTTCGTTAGTTTGTACCGTTCGAATAATATCATTCGAAAAAGCGGTTTCTTTTTTTGCGTCGCTTCTATACAAGAGAACCTTTTCGCTCGAGTGCACGTTTTTTGAAAGACGACATTTGGCGCGTTATATTTTTGACCTTCGCCGATGACTCACGGTTTTTTTTTCAGGTAGAAGATATTAAAGACAATTTTGATCGCGGATTTTAACGGTCGATGCGCATATTTACAATTTTACCATGTCGATGTAAGAAACAGATTTTGAAGAGCAAAACGGAAACAATGAGACCGGTCACGTTTGATAAACTTCGAGATAACGTAGATACCTATATCAAAATCCGCTTTGGAAAAAAATAAAAAGAAAGCCAAAGACAATTAAGTTTTTTTTAAATGTTGTTCGCTTTGATAATTTTAATGCAGACTTAGGAGCTTATCGTAAACGATAGATCCAAGTAACATCGAGATGTGTAAATGAAATATATTATTTCAGCAAAAGTCTGTGAGAGGCTACATCAATACTAAAACTCGAAACTTTAGTAATACAGTCGCATCGTATCGGAGTAATCAACGGAGAAAAAAAACAAACTCTTTGATTGTAATATATTCGATAATATAGAAAAATTATATAACCTGAATATTTCTTAAACAATTATATTTGCTAAATTAAACATTTCATTCGTAAAAAATAATGAAATGATATTTGAATGAATATTTAACATTATTAGAAACTATTTCAAACAAAAATATATATGTACATGCATTACCAAAAAAAAAAAAAAAAAAGAACTTTTCATACGCTAAAAATTGAGCTATTTTCAAACCGCTGAAACTCGGCAAAAAATCATTGTAGACAAAAAATAAAAAAAAATAAAAAAATAAAAACATTTTGTAGCTTGAAGTTTCAATGCGCTGTCGGTAGTTTTAAAAATTTTTTATTTTCCTTGTTCTGTGTTTAAAAAAGAAACGTATTGTTTTTTGTCCCTTAAAATTACGTATTTTTGATACTCTGCAGCTTGATAAAAAAATTTCTCTTGAAAAATTCAAGTCATAAACATATTTTGTAATTCCATAAACATATTTTGTAGTTCCATAAACATATTTTGCCTACGCAAAACGCTTTTTTAAATATTTCCTACATTTTTTTGGGGGGCCGATTTATACGAGTTTGAAACTGAACCTGTGTTTTTTAGAAATGATGTCAATACTTGACGAAAAAATCATCGCAGATAAAAAATTAAAAAAGCATTTTGAAACTTGGAGTTTCGCCGAGTTTCAGCGGTTTAAAAATAGCTCGATTTTCAGCGTATAAAAAATGTTTTCTATTTTTTTTAGTAATGTATATTATTATGATTATTATATTATTAGAAATTTTTTATTTTATAAAAATAAAAATATTTATTTGATATTGTATATGTGTGTGTATGTGTGTACGAGGTGTTGTCGAAAATTTTCCGGAATTACTCTATAAAAAAATGTTAGGCTTATTTTATTTACAATTTGCCTCCGTCCCTTTCGAAGCTCCTTGTGACTTTATACAGCCAGCGTTTCTGCCATGCTTCAAATTTTCCCTGGAAATTTTTTTGCTGTAGCGTGTGAAGCACCCTCTGCGATTCGGTCTCGATCTCTTGTATCGTTTCGAAACATCGCCCTTTGAGCTTCAGTTTCATTTTTGGGAATAAAAAGTCACAACGGGCTAAATGTGGCGACGATCCTCACGAACAATTTTTGCAATTTTTTCAACACTTTCGGAGGTTGTGTTGATGTGCGGCCATCCCTATGATTATCGTCTTCGACCAACGTCTTCGGCTCTTTTTGAAGCGTGCATGCCACTTGAAATATTATATATGGCCTAGGGCCTAGAGCATCGTCACCAAAAGCCTGAGAAATCATTTCGAGAATCTTGGTGGCCAATTTTCCGAGTTTGACACGAAACTTTAGTCAAAACGTTGGTCGAACACGACAAGCACACAGGACGGCCGCGCACCAGTACAACCTCCGAAAATGTTGAAAAAATTGCAAAAATCGTTCGTGAGGACCGTCGCCACATTTAGCCCCTTGTGATCCTTTTTTGTTCCCAAAAATGAAGCTAAAGCTCAAAGGGCGACGTTTCGAAACAGTACAAGAGATCGAGACTGAATCGCAGAGAGTGCTTCACACGCTACAGCAAAAAAATTTCCAGGGAAAATTTGAAGCATGGTAGAAGCGCTGGGGTGGCTGTATAAAGTCACAAGGAGACTACTTCGAAAGGGTAGAGGTAAATTGTAAATAAGGTAAGCCTAACATTTTTTATAGAGTAAATCCGGAAAATTTTCGAGCACCTCGTATATTTAAAAAAACGTTATTGCGCACATATGTTCATTATAACGGTAATTAATATGCATGAATGATATCTGCAATTTTAATACATTACAATTCTGCATAATATAACGTTTCGCGATACATAATCCTCATATAAAATTAAGTCCACTTCTCACCGTATCGATTAACACAAATATCTGGAATGACTTGATACCCACGAATACCGGGTGAGATATCGACAGCCGCCTGTCGTTCGCTACGTCGTCGTCGACACCATCCTAATTTTGTCGCTTGAAATATTCAGCATGACTGGTGTAACAGATAACGAAGACCGATTAAGGCCGATTAGAATCAAAACTTGATACTGTAAATCCGGTATTTTGTAATTGCGTGATTATCCTTGACACTTCACCAGCATTTATCTTGCAACGTTCTGTGTTGCACCAACACAAATTTATCGTATTGAAATCTACACAACTTTAACGATTTGTAATGCATTTTAAAATGCGCATATTATTCCAAAAGAAACGATTAAAAGAAAAGAAGTATTCAATTAACAAAGATGTATATAATCAACAAAAAGAAGACGCTTTAAGATTTAATTACACAGAGAAATATAATTTCATAATTTAATGTACTCTTCTTTGAAATAATAAGGTATTTTCAAAATATCAATTCTTTACGAAGACTACATCCTTTTTATCCCATATCTCAAAAAAATACGAAGGAACAATCATCGGAAAAAAATCAACGTAAAATTTGTTTCTTCTCTTCAACATTCGTATCGAAAAAAAAAAAACACGTGTGGTCACTTCACGTTTACCTTGTCATTCGTGTAATTTTCTACAGCGTTTTGAAACACGCATGTTCTCTGAAAAAGGACGAAGAAGAGGGAAGAAAAAGAACCAAATGTGGAGATGTACTCCGAAAATTAATTCTGCAGAGAAAAAATGCGACCGCTTTACATTTACATCTCGCGCATACAATTGGTAATTCCAATTTGTTTGCCCGGTGAAAACAGCGGCGACGTCGATCAACACACTGACGGAGAATTGCCAGAATGTTAATTCGTGACTCCGAATGGGAACGGACCGGCGGGAGCGACGATGCATTATTGAGGGACGAGCTCGTCGCGATAATTCGTCGATTACAGTTGGCCGCGCCGTTTGTCCGTCACCGGTAAAACGAGAATACGTATGTACACTCGTAAAAAGGGGGAGACAGACGACTTTAAAAGAGAGAGGGCCAGCTAGCTACGCTAGGTATCGTAAAAGTATAAGTGCTACACGACCGTACAGAGAGGGAGAATATATACGTCCCGCGACGTCGTGCTCGGAATTAAGATCTCGACTCCGGTTTTCAAATAACTCTTTTATATGACTCATTGTCTATATAGGAGGAAATGGAATATGATGCATGAGTTAACCGAATAATTCCCGGCGTATAATATCTCATGTACTTTCTCTCGATAATAATAATATTGCGAGAAAATATACTTGTTAGACACTGAAAATATGATCTTCGTATAGATC